CATCCACAGCACGTTATGGGACACACACACACACACAAATCCTTTGTAGCAGTCACATGCTTGGCTTTATTTTGCTCTTCAATGAGGTTTATGGCACCTGCTTTCTAGTTAAATGTTAAGCAGACACACCTGCTTAAGCGTAGTCAGGCCGCAGGGAAGCCTAAACGTGTTTCGTAGAAAACAAACAGGTATGTTGTTTATTCCTGGAAATGTGTGCAACTTCAACTCTAACACGCTCAGGATTTTTTGATGCCTCTGAGTTGTAGTTTGCACCTCCATGATCTCCAACACCAACTCCCAGGGTGGAGCTGCAGTCATTATACATTTGCTGGAAGAAGATATCAGTTTTATTGTTGATTTTGTTTATATGAGTTAGAAAATATGGCTGTAAATGTAGCACACCTAACAGTTAATGCTTTATCCTCTTGTTACTCCCCACACCTCGACTCTACCCTGTTTATACAAAGGAAGAGGGAAAATCAAAACTGGGGTGTTGCTGCTCACTGTTTTATGTAGGTCTGTAGTTTGAATCCACCTGGTCCAAAGTTCAGGTGTGTTTCACAAGCTACCTGCTACATTTAGCTGCAACTGCTCCCGGAGTTTCCGACGTTGGAGTGCAAACACTGGAGGAGTTTGTCAGGGACATCCAAAGGCAATAATTCTGATTTCCTCATGGACTACAATCCATTCACACACCACCTGAATGGTTGCATTTCCACCGGCTGCAAAGTGTCACATTTTGGATGTTTCACAGAAGCGTAGGTCTGCAAAATGTTTGCTTTGAGTCCGTTTTTTATGTGTTACACTTCTAGAACGCATCAAGCTCAGCAGTTCAGATTGGTTCAGACAGGAAGTCAAACAAGAAAGTAGTTTAAAACATCTGGAAACTTTCAACATAAAATTCACAGTCACACTAAAAGTTTCCAGTTGCTTAACTAGTAGAAACAAATAGGTGATTTCCTGTGAAACCTCTGCAGCCTAGATAAACACAAAAGAGACTAAACTACAAATCATTTTGGATATTTGCTGCCTTACGTGTTATCGCGTAAACTGCCGAAACGACTTGTGTTGCAATTCTCTGGTGATTTCGGGACCAGTTACGTAGAAAACTTTCACTGCAGTTTTGCTTCTGACACGCTCAGTGGGAAGGGACTCGCTGCTGAGCGTGCGGGTAAAAGGCACCTCACAACCCTCTGGAGGCGGGCGTTGCAGATGTGCAACGTTAAAACCTACCTACCTGGTTACTCCACACACGTGTTTCATGAGCATTTTTAAACTCAGAAGTACCCCTGAAGGACTTAGTTGTTCGTCCTTTTATCAGAACTTATTTTGAGCCTGAGGTTAAGTTAAGTGCCGCTTACACATTTAGCAGAACGCTTGTTAGCAATTGTTGTGAATGCAGTGAAATGTAGGTGCAACAGTTATACGAAGCCCATCCGCAGTCTAGTACTTATCTACATAAACGTTATCAAAGCCTTTGACTGAGATGCTGCAGGCGTCAGAGACCATGGGGTGGTTATGGTACACACAATGATCTTCTTTTTTCTTATTTAACACAGTGAAGTAATTATTGGCTGACATATTTCGGCCGGAACTTCCTCCTTCGTCAGAGCCGCCAGCTCTTTGTGGCGTCACTTCTGTTTATGTGCGGGCAGCAGAGGACGATGTCGCCCTCTGCTGGCCGCATCCTTCATGCTGATAACACAGTCCCATGTGTGATCCAACGTGTGAATGCGTCGTCTCTGTTCACGGAGCTGTGTCTGCGTGTCCTTATCTCTGTCACTTCCTTCTGTATTGTTGTTGTTCCGTATTTATGATCCGCGTGCTGTCCTAATCTATTACGGGATTTTCCCTTGTGCGCTGGTTCGTTAGCGCAGATCTTTTCATAGAACTGTCCGCGTCCTGTTTTGCTGCTCTTGTGTGCCTTTACTTTGTTTCTTTCTCACACTCTTTTTGATGTTCTGTTTTTGTGTGCTGAGTTGGCGTCCTGTTTCTCCTATGGATGTTTTGCTGCAGAGTTGGTATTTCGTAGATGGCATCGCATTTTTGCCCAGCTGGTATTTTGTCTTTTGGGTGTACCTCTCTTTTCTTGACCATCAGGTATGGTTTTGTTGGTGTGTTGATGTTGTGTCTTTTAGTTGCTGTCCTTATTTTTTTGTTATGCCTTTGATGTAAGGAAGGGTTATTGGTGGTTTTGGTTCTGCTCCCTCTGTGGTCCTGGTTCTCCTCGATGGTTTGTTTTTTCTTTCTGTTGTTGTTTTCCGTTCTTTAGTGCCTGTGTTGGGCATCTGCAGGTTTTTAGTGTGTTGGTCCTCTAGTTTGCGATCCTGTTCTTCAGTTATCATGTTAGCTCTGTGGTATAGTGTTCTGATAACTGATCATTTGTGTATGGTGGGATGTTCTGATGTCCATAGTAGGTATTGATCTGTATGTGTTGATTCCTGCTTTCTGGTTATTTTCATGTCCATTAATGCTATGCTGTTCTCTTTTTCTTCTTCATGTGTAAATTGTATGATGTTTGTGTTGTTGATACTGTTTAGATGTTTTGTTAGCATGTCTGCTTGTCTTTTAGGGATTACCAAAATGTTCCATAACTTTACGTTGCAGTTTGGTGTGTGTGTGTGTGTGTGTGTGTGTGTGTGTGTGTGTGTGTGTGTGTGTGTGTGTGTGTGTGTGTGTGTGTGTGTGTGTGTGTGTGTGTGTGTGTGTGTGTGATGCTTCTTGCTCCAGGTTTTCCATGAAGAGTTCACAGAGGGTGGCTGATAGCGGGTTTCTCATCGCAAATCCTTCTAATTGTTTGTAAATAAGTCAGTTGTATGTGAAGTCTGTGGGGTCTGCTACCAGTTTTATTGTTTTATGTGGTCTGCCTTCAGCTTAGTCCTTGTGTGTGACGTTCTGTCTTGTTTGATTCTGTTTATTACTATGTCGATGGTTTTTTGGGAGGGAGTTTTTGTAAACAGAGAAGTGATGTCGTGTGAAATGGGTATGTCGCTGTCGTCTATTGTAGACTTTTTGAGTTCGTTGGCTAGTTCCGTGCAATTTTTTCAGTGTTGCTCTGTATTGCCTAATAGTGGACTGATGATTCTGCTTATTTAGTTGCCATTTTGTACGTGGATGTACCTCTGCTGTCAACTATTGGTCTCAGTGGAGTGTCCTGTTCATGCATCTTGGGTGTTTTATATATTCTTGGTATAATGTATGCCTTTGGGATCCATTGTTTGTACATGTTTTCTGGGATTTTTCCTTTTTCCATTAATGGTTGAAACATTTTTTTCATGTTTTTTTATTTTTTCTGTAGGGTCTTCTGTTGATGTGCGCAGCAGAGGGCGAAATCGTCCTCTGCTGCGCACATCAACAGAAGAACAGCTGGAGGCTCTGACAAGGGCGGAAGTTCCGGCCAAAACATGTCAGCCGAAGGTAAAGAAACATCTACGTACTTCACTGAATCATCACACCGAACGAACATACAGAAGAATACGGTACGCATTTAGGACATCCTCAGATCTTAGGAAAACATCATCGGCATCAAATGGCCACTGCGGGTAGTTCATTGAAAACAAAGCATTGAATGTCAAAATTAACACATTATGCTTCTGACTAAATGGCATCACGAATAAAGGTCCCAGAAAAGTGTGAGGGAGAGACTTCCTGCAGGTGCCACCATTTTCAGGTGTTGTTTTATGAACGTTATTTAAATTGTTGCATTTGTTAAAAACACACATCAAATATCCGCCGAAAACGGTTGTTCGCCTAAGAACAGAAGGAAAGGGAAGTGCCGTTGTTTGGTCACAGCCAAGTTGTTGACCAAACATGTCAACGTGCAACATAATGTAAGAACGTAAGACACAGACTCCTACTGTTATTTATCACAACCTAAACATAACCTAATATAACATCAGCATGGCAAAGACACAGGGAGAAGAGATTTAGCATAACTTGGTGTTATCAGGAGCCTGAATGTTGTGTTCTTCCTCTGTCGCACGTTGATGACATACTCTGACAACAATTTGGCAGCGTCCTGACAACGGTGCCACCTGCACGATGCTTCTCTCTGAGGCATTCCCATCGGAGAGCAACTATACAGTTAATTTAAGAGAGCTTCTGCCTTGCAGATTCTTTGAGCATCACAGGGTTATGGGCTCGACACACGAGAGGCGATGTGGTAATCGCAGGTCTTATTTCCTGCTAAGCGACACACGAAAAATGTGCATGTGAAACTTTGTGCTCGTGTTGTGCACAGGCTATCCCTGAAATCTGAGAAAATTTCAACTTATCATCGCTGTCACTCGGACAAGGACCAGTCAGCCTGACCAATGAGCAGACAGGATGCTTCCCAGTGAATCTCCGGGTGAACATGAAGGAGAAGTTAATACTTGCCACGTTGGATTTTCCAGAGCTTTGCCACGTTTCTATAAAATATTTTAGAAATCCTCACAAAAAGGCAGCAGCATGAGAAATTGTTGGTGCCAGAATTAGTGCAACAGGTAAGTTTACTTACTGACACAGTTTTGTAAGTGTATCTAGTGCAATAGCAAACCTGAATAATTTGTGTATTAAACAACTCTGAACTGCTTTAATAACCCAAAATTCCCTCCAACCCAGCAGCCAACCGCAGCCATGGAAGGCTTTCTACACGGCCTGAAACAGAGCGTGTTGCCGCTGGCCGCATGTCGCATGTATCAGGTTATCAAAGCCATAGTGACGAGTTTTACTTTTCACGGTCGTTTGTCGTCTTCCACGTGTCAAGAACAGCTTTTATTTTTATGGCAATGTTTTGTTGTTGTTGTTGTTATTATTATTTTAACACCTCTAAAAAGCCCACTAAAGGTAAACAATATGCTTTGAAATTGAACCCAAAAACAAAGCCTCTAAGAATACCAACAATGTTTTTTCTGCATAGAAATAAGAAAACATCTGTTGTCAGTTCAAACAGCAGCGTTTTTTATAGTTAGTTATTAGCTTTTAGTCAAAAAAGAAACCAAAACAATGTGCAACAAAGATGCATTCAAGTTTTTTCTTTATTATTATTTTCTCATACAAAATCCAGGGTTTCAGTTCTAGAAATATAAACATCTTTGAATAAGTTAGAGCATAAATAAATTCTTCTATTTACAATTATTGCAATCAAGTCAACGGTAAACTTCAAAGACTGTAAACTCACTTTAGACTGAGTTCTCATTCAGACACTTGGAAATGAAACCATCTCTGCACTTTTGGCTAACTGAACATCAGTGAACCCTCCTGGTTTGTTGTTGATCAAAACATTCGAGTGGTTATTTCTTAGCTGCCTTTTACGAGTACGGCCAAAGACCTTAAGCTGTTTGTGTCTCAGACTTCAAGCAGAAGAGTCGAATCCAGCAGATAGAGAGGAATTCACCAGGAACTGGTCCCAATGGCTTTGATGGTTTCCTCTTCAGCTACTGGGTTCATTTTAAGCCCATTACTGTTCATAATAATAATAATAAAACATAATGTTCCTCCTTCATTAGGAAGCTACTGCTCTTCCAAAGTTTCACTTCTTTGTCCTTCTGTGGTTTCACCAGAATTTCGGACCTGCTTGTCCATTTAGACCCTGAGATCTCCTGTGATAGGCACCGAATCCACGATGACAGAAATGTTCTTCCTCCTTGGTCTAGTCTTTAACTTGCTTCTCCAGAAGAGTCCGCCCTTGAAGACTGGGACGCTTTTGCAATCTTCATGTTGGACTGGACAAGAGACCTAAAATAAATAAAGAAAATCCACATTTCAGGTGCTTGTCTCTCAGGAACAACCATAAAATGTGCCGAGCATTGAAATGTAGGCTTTTATCTCTGTTTACCTTAAAGATGCCAACAACTGTTTGCTGTTTGCTCTCGTGGATTTCTTCACTAAACTTGAGTCTTCAGCTCTGCTGTCCTCCGAGCTGTGGACAAACACAAAGGTGCCATTAAATGAATGCATGAAACTTTTAGATGACTCAGTAAATAAAATCTTTACGAGTTGGTCAGTTTTTGACCCCTTTGCCATCTGGTGTTTACACACAATGAACTCAAGTGTTTTCCAGGACTACCTAAGAGAAATCTATAGTTGTGCTTCATTGGTAAAGAAAGACATTTTCCTTCTTACAAACATCTTCAAGGATAACATCTAAAGTTGATGACTAATTCATAGTGGTGGTTTCAGAACTCCGATAACCCAAAGACGCAACAAGCATTCCCTTGACTCACAGCAGAAATGTAAACTTTCCAAAAATAGCAGCACCACTAATAAACCATTTGTCATTTGGTTGTTGTCCTCTGGAGAAATGCAGGTCTATCAGTGCTACCCTCATGCCGCAGAGCCGCTATCACAGACTCCATCATTCAGCCCTCTCTAACTCGTCCCATGTGTCACATATTTCTCAGATGCATCATACGAGAAGCTTCTCTGATCTTACGGTGTGATTATCAGAGGGTGGACAGGGGACAAGACTGGCTTCCCCGAGCAGCGTTTACCTTTCATAACAGAAGGCTCGGCAGCGTTTGTCCGTGAGGTCACTGCACTGGCATCGGTTGGCTGACCGCCGCCGCCGAGACAAAGACCCTCCCAGACCATGAGGAAGTAGTTTACTGTACAAGAAAGGGAAACATTTAGATGTGGTATTGATATTTTTAAAATAATCTCTGTGGGATTAGGTGTTAGGATTGGTAGTAAGTGTTTTCCTTGGAGTTTACCTTGGTGTGTTAACCCAGATGATGTCCAGGTGGCAGAAGTAGATGCACTCGGTGTCATACCAGCTGTTACAGGAGCAGCGTTTGGTCCTGATGTGGTTTGGATGTGACACCTGAAGGGGTGCCTCTGGCCGATCAGATAGAGGAAGTCCCCAACCTGGAATACCCAAAGAATCCTGAGATTAACCCGGTGTGATGTTGTTAGTGATTAATTTCACCCACTAGTGTGCTCAAACAGATGTGACACTGTTGTAAATCAGCTCTAAGTCAAATAAAACAGAGATAAAAAGGCAGTGTTGACACTGATTGCTTAAAAATGTTTTTTTTATCGAAGTCAAATCATCTCTGGAGGCCTGAAGTCACGTTGTTTTCGCTCTTTAGGAATACAAAGCTGCTGAATGAAACAGCAGCTTCTTTTTTAGCTTTCTGATCAGTAAATATGCCTTTATGCTCTAATGAACCCAACGATTCGCTCTAAACCTGAAAATATTTACCCAATACGTAAACAAATACTCAAAAACCAAACTCACCTTCACGCAGAGCCATGCAGGTAAATAACAAAGTGAGGATCTTGCTCAGCAAAGAAGTCATTGTGAGCTTGTTTTAGTGAAGTTTTCAGTAAAAAAAGCAACAGATGTCAGTTGATGTGCTACAGAAAACAAGTCTACGATCCTTGTAGGAGAGCAGCGACAGGTGCTTTATGTTCATGACACATTCAGGAGCCTCTACTTATACCTCCATGGCTCCTCCTACTTCTGTGTACTTGGCTATTGTTACACAAGACACTCAGACTCCACCTGCCACCCCCTCCGCTCTCCACCATCCTCACCACAAACACACACAACATTCCAGCCATGACCTTCCTAAAGCTGCTGGAGCTGCTACAGCCGGCGAGTTCAAACCAGCATCCTTCTACCATGGCACTTTATAGCCACATCAGATCGCAAGTTCAAGTGGCTAAGGGGAGAAAAACGTTTGTGTTGTAGAGCAAATCGTAGAATAAGAACATGGATATGAAACAGTAACGGTAGCGGTAGTTAGACTCCTAGAAGAAGTTCATATAACATGCGTGTATTAGGATGTACATGAACTGCACAACATGCAAAGAGAAAAGTTAAAACTGCTTTCAGTGACTCATTAGTATTGCCATGGTGACCAGCAGTAGCTGCTTAAGGTCATCATGAGGTCATCATGAGGACCAGGGACACAGACGGAACCTCAGAGAGTCCACTGCTGCGTGAAAACTATGAATTGTTTTCTAAATAATCTTAACTGAAAGACAGAAAGCCATGATGGACGTCAGGAATGTAACGATACATCAATCTACATTGATTTTATTTGAATTTATTGATTTACATCACATTTATGATCAGTGACCCAAAAACAAAATTTGATAGATTAAGTGTAAATGAAAAGCATTTTAAATGAGAAAATAGCTTTATTTTAAAGTTCTGCTAACATGCCGTTTTCCACCTGTTCCCGCTCACCTCCAAACGTGTCAAAAGATGAAGCTAGCCACGTCATGGTCAACATTGTAAAAATATTGAAGAATTTGTCACTCCCATGGGAACTGATTGTGTTCCATTGCTTCATATCAATCAGTGGGTCCCAAATCAAATCAAATCTAAATGTTATTGGGACTGAGTCTGAGATATCTGCAAACATCGAATCGCAATCCAAAAACTGTATTAATATACAACTATTTAGTGATCAAACTAGCGAGTAATGGACATGCATGTGTATTTGTGTTTTTGCAGTATTTGGCTAGTTAAAAAGACCTGTCACTTCTAGTTTTGAGTAGAGCATTTTCAACAAACCTATAACTGAAGTTTACAAAAAAGAACAAGTCCTATTGCAGTGAAAACTGGTGGAAGAAGACAGAAAACCCTATTTTTGATGTATAGTTCTATATGTCACTTTTGTACCTTTAAACATACGTAGTTTATGGAATAAAAACAATGTTTAAATCGTAAATATGGGTAAATATTGCCTAAATATTGAAACATTCAAAGCAACTCTTAAAGTATCTTTCTGGAGTTTTCCCCTTTCAAAAATCGCGTGATTTTTCAGAAATCTGTAAAAGTGATTGTCTCATCATGTACTGTGATATAATGTAAGCAATACGTCTTTATTTATTTATTTGCTAAGCACGCCCCCTGCCCCGCAGAGCTCCGTGTAATGGGAAACTGAGAACCGACCAGATAGTGTTAGACTATCGCTTACCTGCTTCTAATTTAAAGAGGGACTGCACACCATCAGAAAATGTAACTCCACCCCAAGTCAAGATTTGAAAAATGCTATGAAAGTGGGCGTTGCCAGGAGGCACAGAGTGGCATGGCCAAGTGTGGGGAATTTCAATCCTGGGAGGGAGGGGGAGTGGGAGGAGACTGTACCGATGACGTGAAATTGTTCCAGCCCCAGTCAATCACAAGTTTAAAATGCAGTAGCTGCTGTTCTGCCACAGGGGGGCAGCACTAAGACGTTTTTAGACTTAGATCCTAGATTTAATCAAGTTTACACAAACATGTAAAATGCAGAGAAACAGAAAGATTACATTTGTAAAGACCCAAGTATACAGTTTATAAGACAAAAAAAAGTTATTTTGGGGTTTAGTTACTCTTTAAGGAATACCTCGGCTGATGCAGAGTTGATGAACTTTTCTTGAACAAGTAAGTCTTTAAAATATGTGAACACAACATGACATGAAAATAATACTTGTAAAACTGCGTGTTTTAGCCAGGGGCGGCGTTAGGTCCGGCTACTTGGGCTGAAGCCCCGGATGTTTTATGAAAAGCCCCGGATCTAAATCGTGGAAGTAACATGCAGTACCAAAGTCCAACAGAGAGGGAGCAGCTGGCAGTAGTTTGTATACAGCCTGCCTGAGCCTCCACCACTGAAGAAGAAGCCCTTCAGCAGCCGGCTTCTTCTACACTCTCTGCCTGAAACGCATGAGTGAAGATGGACATAAGGACGTTTTTAGACCAAAAGTACCACGACAGAACCCCAGCTCTGATGAGACTGGTGCTGACTCAGGTTTTTGAGTCTTATTTGAAAATGTTTGTTGTGCTGCTGGTTTGCCTAAAGTTAGCTTACTATTAGGTAAAGTTGTTGGAGAAAGAAAGGGAATATTTACTATCATCTCACACTAAACACTAACAGGAACAATACTCTGCCCTGAATATGCTTAATATGTAGCTTCAGATTAAAAATTATGTGGTACAAGACAAATATATATGATGTTGACTAGTGCATGTCACGTGTGTGTGTGTGTGTGTGTGTGTGTGTGTGTGTGTGTGTGTGTGTGTGTGCGCGCGCGTGTGTGTTAAGCCCCGGATCTACTTCAATCCTAAATCCGCCCCTGGTTTTAGCTCTGTTTGTCGGCTATAAAAGGACATAAATAAACTAGAAACGTGAAGTCGCCATCTTAAAAAACTGAAGAAATTATTTGTGTGATTTGCTTGTCAACCACTAGATGGTGCCATCGGATAAGAGAAATACTCTGGATAGAGCCTTTAATAGGTTTTGTGCTTCTCCCTCCTAATGGTTGAAAGCAGAATTACAACTACAACCCTGCCGCAGCCCGCTGTAGCTAGTGCTAACAATGAGCTAACACTGATGCGAGCCAACTGATAATAAGCCACAAAGTAAAAAGTATTACTTAGTTACGTACCTAAGTACTACTTACTAGTCCAGTAGCCAAACAGCCAGGTCACCATCAGTCTGCATCAGATTTTGTAGCCTCCTTTGGCTCCCCAAAATGAGGGTAGCCATGTTAGATGTATTCTCTGGTTTTAGCTCTTTGTTTCACCTCCAAACATGTTGGGTGTTTCTCAATGTCAAGGCGCTTAGCCTTGAGAGGCGATGTCTTGCGAGGACACTGTCCTTCCTTGGTCAAAGAAAATTATTAAATGGAACAGGCGTGCATCACGTTACCGCGGCTTCCACGGCGGTCACGTAACGTCACGTGACACAAGATATAACATTATAATTTTTACGTATTAGTTTCAATATAAATATATATATATATATATATATATATATATATATATATATATATATATATATATATATATATATATATAAAACGAGCCTTTAACTTTTAAAATTGTGTATATATATTTATTAAATAAATATATAAGCAAGTTACTAACCGCTAGCCACCAAAGCTGCACCTAATAAGCAACTAACCAACCATAGTTAACTTCTTTGGATCTTAAAAAAAAATTAAAATTAGTTGACTTACAGTACTTTAAAACTTGAAATTTGCCCCCAAAGTAGCTGTCAGCTTCTGATCCGCCATCTTTTAGAAAATATCGCGGTGTATTCTGTTTTTTTTTTTTTTTTTTTTTTTTACCAAGGCTAGGCTACAAGACACCTCCCGTGTATCCTTGCTCGGCTAGCTAAATGGCTAACAAACGGAGAACACACGCCTCGGTAGAACATGAACATTGGAACATGTCTTGGCGGTTCCTGATGACGTATCTCCTAGGCAACCAGGGCAGGGCCAAGACATCAAGGCGAAGTTCCTTGGCATTGAGAAATACCCATTACCCTCTTACTTTTACTTTCATGCTCCACCATGATGCCAACAGAATACAGCAACATGTATTTTCTTCTGCTTTTTATTGATGTTTGGCAAAGTAAAAGATAATTGCTAGCCTTTATATTAGCTAAGCAACTATTGCCGTGAAGCAAGTTTCCACAGGTGCTGACCTGAATCACAAAAGTTGTTAACTGCAGTTTCTGGTCAGCAGAAGGCTATTCTGGTGAACCACAGTAATCAGTTAGAAAGCAATATCTTTAAGTGTTAAAACTCTTTAGTGTTGCTTTAATAAAATGCCACCTAAGCTTTATAGTTTCCCCATCCTGTATTTTGTTTTTCTTTTTATTTAATCGCAGACGTAAAAAATTCACAACAATAATCTTCAGCAATGCAGAGTTGAGAAGAGATGCCGTTGCCTTAAAAAAATCTTTTGTTTTCCACAGTCAGACATTCGGATGAAGCAGGAGGCAGCAGAGGAAGAGATGAGCTGTGGCAGAGGCTTAGCCTTCTGATATGAGGATGCAGAGAAGGGCTGTCAGCACCCCCCACAGGAAGCTGAGGTCATTTCACTGTCGTCTAACACAAACAGTCCCTGCATGCAACACAGGCTGACCTTCATGAAGAAATACACAGCCAACTGCCTCATCAGCTCCCTGCATGCATGTAGGAAAGGAAAAATCCACATGTCCAGGTTGTCTGACCAGCTTGTCTTTGCGAACACCCTCAGGTTCGGTTGACTGTCATCACAAATGAAAAACGGATGTAAACTGATATAAAAACAGAAAATTAGGGATTATTGGGACTTTAGAATGAGAATACAAGAGTGGTGGTAAGAGTGTCAACAGCTGATTTATTTATAGGGGTTCATTTTGATTATTTGGGCAAAAATGTGCATTGATCATACAGTTGTGGCCCAATGTTTGGGAAATGACACAAATATTGGTTTTCACAAAGTGCTTTTAGCTGTTTCTGTGATGATATGAAATAAAATACAAATTCAAAGTTTTTTTTTATTAACAATTACATCAAGTTTATCCAAAGAGTCAATATTCACTGTGTTGTTGTCATGGACACAGGACTGAGCAGAATGGGGAGACAGGACAGGTTGTGACACGTGTACCTTCTTTTTCAAGGCTTCTGCAGTTCCTCCTGGCATGCTGTCCATCAATATCTTGACTGATGACAATCCATTCTTTTATAATCAATGCTTGGAGTTTGTCACAATTAGTAGATTTTGAGAATTTCCTGACATGGGCACAAAATTTGAATTTTTTGGTC